AAAATAATCTAACGGCTTTGAATGCGAGTTTTACAAATAACGCAGAAATTTGAGTCGTGCAAGATCTTAAGACAAGAGAAAAGGGATAAATTATATTTATAGGTTAATATTTTAGCCATCATATCATATATATTCTGGGAAAATTTGAAATCAGTTTGCATGGAGTACTGCAAAGGATTAACCACAACTCAGTAATGACAAGGCTTGTTTAGGTTTCCGGACCAATATTTATAGAAAGCGTTCGTAAAAGCAGAACATTTGTTGGAATTCTGCGTCTAGCCCAAGAAATGTCTAAAGCTGCTAATGTTTGAAACTATTGGCAGTAGCATAAGCCAAATGATTGTGACAGGTTAACATTGCTTAAAAACCTTTAACGTTCAGAGCTTTTGCTATCTAGTCTCTGCAAGGTGGTTTTGGTTAGAGTTGGCAACCTCGAAATTGCTGTATTATACGGTTCCAAGACAAAGAAAGAACTCATTCCGAATCGCCTATTTAAAACGACAAATAAAATCTACCCAAACTTACTTTTGGCTGGTAGTGAATTTCGAGCCAACACCAATACAGTTTGTCTGATCAGTCGAAAACACGAAATGTCAGTTAATTCTCATGCCGATTACTCTAAAACAGTCAATTTGGACGGTCCTTCCGAACTTGCAATAGAAGCGTTGGTGTAAAATTTAAGGACATCATAATTAAGAGCAAATCTGCACATTGCCCATACATTTCCAAAGCTTTTACCCCTGCGCACTAATTTCTCCTAACATCAAGCTCCGAACGCAAGCACCAGAGAAATCCAGAAGAATGATACTGCCTTACCATAGACTTCATAATTTTAGCGGTCTCTCAGGTACATTCAGCTGGTGTGTGTGGATTGACCAGCTTTGCAATTGCGACTGATAATTTTAATAAACATAGATTTGAGTGCATGCAGACACAACCAGAACATGAGCCTTCAAACAGCTCTTCGCCTGGATAGAATTCTAAGTATTCGACGAATTGCGAGTTAACAGTTGCCTGTTGTTCTTGTTTGATTAAGATTCTCTTAATTGCTCTTTTTATCCCTCCTCCTCCTTATTCGATCTCTCTCTCATAGGTGCTCGGTTGCATCTTAACCAGCCAGGCAGCAGCCGTTGGCCGCGACGCAGAAGGTACGCGAGTCGGTGAACATCCGGAATCATTCTTCTACCCCTACGCCAAACGCTACTTTGATCCCATACGTTATGGCATTTCAAGTGAGTTTGCCTCCTTCACACAGTCCCCAACTGCCCCTAACCTCTTCCCCCCGCACCTCTAGGCTACCACGGCTCACGCGCCAAGTATGCTGCCCCTTCGGCCTACTTTTCGGATTTGGAGAAACGGGCACCCTACTTTGATCCAATCCTTTATGCCATGCCCTAGACCAGTCTTCGCCTTTGACCAGAAGAAGAAGCAGAAGGGACCGAATGAATGAATAGTTTGTGTGCATATTGATGTTTTTATTCTGTCTCGCTGAAATATAACTGAAGCCATCTAAAACTGTCACTTATTTTTTATGTTGGCGTTTTTGTTACATCCGCAACCGTCCTTAGAGTAATTTATTATCGAACGGGACGATCTTTATGCCTTGCTAGGGATCGCTTACGCTTATTGCGAAAAGCGAAATTCCCC